AGGGAAAGTGAGAAATCTCCTCCCCAGGGGACATGGCTATGCTGCAATTCCTTCTCCTTCATTCTCCTCCTGGATTCTTGGGCATGCACACATATGTGCCCAGTGTGATTTTTAGGCCATCAGTTCTGAGACTTGAATGGTGTTGGGCCATGTGAGAGTCTAGTGGTGTAATTACTATGCCATCTGCTTACCCCTGTTTTTTTTTTTTTCCTAGAGTTATTTATTTATTCATTTATTTTGCCTTAGGGTGTGTATGCTCACCAGAGAGAGAGAGAAACAGAGTTAGCGAGAGGGAAAGTGAGAAATCACTCCCCCAGAGGGGTTGGCCATGACACAAGCCCCATCCCACTTTCTCTTCCCAGGATTTTGGGCATGCATGCATATGTGCCCGACTTGAGTTTCAAGCCCCTGGGTCTGGGACTCGAACTGTGGTTGACCATGTGGGAGTCCAGCAACATATAACTACTATCCTATCTGCTGGCCCTCTCTGTTTATTTTTATTTTTAAATTTTTGTTTAGCTTTATTTATTTACTTACTTATTTTTAAATTTGACCAGAGAGAGACACAGAGACAGAGAAAGCCAAAGTGAGAAAGCAGGCTGCCAGGTCCAGGGCTCGAACTATAGTTGGCCATGTGAGAGTCGAGTGCCTTTAACTACCATGCCGTTTGCCAGCCCTTGTTTGTTTATTTTTAAAGACAATGTCTTGCTATGTTGTCTAGACTGGCCTCGAACTTGAGATCCTCCTGCCTAAGCTTCCTAACTGGGATTGCAGAGATCTTCACCAATGCAAGGCCTGATCACTCTTTTTTAAAATTTTTAATGAATTATTATTACTATTTATTTATTTATTTATTTATTTTTTGCTATAGAGAATACAATCATGGGGCGGGGGAGAGATAAAGTGAAAGTGAAAAACTATCCACAGGGGGAATGGCCACACTGTAATCTCTTCTCTTTTGTTTTTCCTCTCAGGATTTTTGGACACACGTGTACATGTGTCCAGCATATTTTCCAGTTCAATGGGTTGCGGACTCAAACTGCATGGTTGGCTATGTAGGATCCAGTGGCCTTAACCACCATGCCACTGGCTGGCTCCCCAATTTTTCTTTTCTTTTCTTTTTTTTTTGGAGAGAACAAATGAGGTGATAGGGCGCGTGCGCTCGCCAGACAGATAGAGTGAGACACAGAGACAGAAAGCGAGAAATCACCCCCCAGGGGGGATGGTCACGCTGCAATCCCTTCTCCTCCATTCTCCTCTTGGGATCTTGGGCACGCACGCACATGTGCCCAGTGTGAGTTTTAAGCCACCGGGTCCGGGACGTGAACCGCAGTTGACTACGTGGGAGTCCAGTGACATAGCCATTACACTAACTGCTGGTTCCTTTTCTTTCTTTTTTTCTTTAAAATATATTTTCAATTCGTTATTATTATTTTTATTATTTTAATTTGACCAGAAAAGACAGAGAGAGGGAAAGTGAGAAAACAAGCTAC